TGAGGCCTATGGGTTTGATTTTGGGAATGGAACCCAACAGCATCCAAACCTCTTGATGTCATTAATGGCTGCATGCCATGGAAAGCAGCCGGCACTAGGATGACAGGAGAGAGGATGCAAACCAAGCTCATCGATGGATGCTTCATATCTGCATCTATGATGCTCATAATTTGAGTCCAAGACTGATCCCGACTCAACTCTAGTCCACTCATCTAGAAGGGTACCAGTAGATGAGGCGGGCTCTGCATTGAATCAGGCGCCATTACTCGGTTGTGAAGCAGATAGTAGACAGGCAAGGCAATGCTGATCCAGAGAGAGCCTCAAATTAGTAAAATTGGCCTCACATTTTATTTTATCCCAGCTTTTTTGTTTTGATGTGTCTAGTGGGAGAGAAAGTAATTCTTGGACCCAGATGCTGATAAAATCTTCTGACCTGGTAGGACTATTTCTTACAGCATATGAGGAAATTTACAGTAAGATGATAGGGATTTATAGAGGCGATGGTCTGATGATAGTTAATAAATATACTAGGGGTAAGGTTGATAAAATTAGAAAGCTAATACATAGGGTATTTAAATCGGTCATTCTTAACGTAAACGCTAACATTAAGCAAGTTAATTTCCTGGATGTTACATTGAATTTAACGAACAATTTCCAACCATACATGAAGAATAATGCTAACCTAGTGGTATATTCATCCTAGCTCCACCACCCCCACTCTGCAATCAAACATATCCCATCACCGGTAGAAAGACTAAACCAACACTCCTCTAGCAAAGAAATATTTAACAAACATGAGACAACTTACGGGAAAATCCTTAAGAATAGTGGTTATAGGTCTCCAAAAATTGAGTTTATGGAAAATGATAATCTTTCCAAGAGAATAAACAGAAAAAGAAAGATCATATAGTACACTCCCCCATACAATCTATCGGTAAGTACTAAATTGGGGCATAAGTTCTTAGAATTAATTGAAAAACATACACTCCCCCCCCTCCAAAGCTCCTTAAGGCAAATTTTTAACTGCAACTCTAAAACTTAGCTGTAGTTGCACAAAGAATTTAGAAAAAATAAAATTGCATAACACTAAGGTATTAAAAAAATGTATAATAAAAATGAGTACACAAGGTCTGATCCTGCTAGGTTCCCTACAGATATGTGCTCGCTATCCAACAGGTATTTAGCAAAATCAGTGGTATACATGTGTACTATTAGCTCTTGATAATCCTCTAACTTCAATGAGGTTTTACGTCAGTAACACGAATATTTTCAAAAAGCACTATTATAAACATATCTTGTCCTTCAACAACCTAGATAAACGAAATATGACCCTCACTTTCCAAGTATTTTTGGGAATTAAAGGACAAGGGTGAAACATCCAAACTTAGATGGAAAATACTAAAACAGGCTAGAATCTCAGTCATTAAACAGTTTTCTCTGCAGGAGAAAATACAAATAAATAAATACCCTGATAAAGAAAAACTATTAAATCGACAGTAATAAATAGCAAACATAAAAAAAAAGAATTAACATTAAAATCTTGCTAAAGAAAATTTTGAATCTATAAATTCTCTTGTATCTGTAAATGTGGTACTGAAGCCATCGCCTATTATACCCTAGTTCTACTCCAATACAGGATTCATTTTAATGAAATTCACTTTGAATATTAAATATAGACCTAACTGATAATTTATTCCTACTTCTGTAAATGTAATAATCTTAGTGTCATTGAAACTACCTTTAGTCTTTATTCTTTTTACTTTCATGGAACCTACCTGTATGATTTATCCATGAGCTGATCCAAATGGGATTACTTTAACCCTTCAAATAATAACACCTTATAAACAGTAATACACATAACACAAAAACTAGAAAAAATTTTGAAAAATTAAAAAGGTCTGTTTATATACGTAAAAGTAATAGACAGAATTACTACTGTCTACTAATGTTGTCTGGATAGCACAAGTGGTAGAGATTTGGGCTAACACCGCAGTGGTTGGGTTTTGATCCAAGCTTGCAGTTTTTGTTTGTTATTACTATATATATATATTTTTTGTAATAACTACCTTCCTATATACAATAGTATTGATCCGCTTTTCCAACCTACGCTACTAGAAATGCAAAGTTAGTACTAATTTCATCTTATTTCGCATTCTATCTTTACATGGAATTTACTACCTATTTCCTCCTAAAAAATAAAAAATCATATTACTCGAATTATTTGTCTCCTTGACAATGTTTTATTCCAAAATAATATGAAGGATAAAAAAATATGAAAAAAGATACCTAACATTCTAATCTGAACTTTAACTAATTATTTTTTTTTTTTTATTTCTTACTTGAAACTCCTACCTAACCAACCTAGGAGACCGTCGAAGTTCAAATACTACATCCTAACGAAATTCTATGGTCAGATTTTATCTCCTCTTTTCCCTTTTTTATTTTCCCTTCCTTTTCGTCCACCCATGACTACTTAATGCATTAGATTCCCTTCCATCTCTACATGTAAATTCTAGAAGACATTTTATGAAAATTTCCAAAGAACGGAAGTGGGGGATATTTGCTTTGATAAATGTATTTCTGAAAAAAAATTTTTATTAACACCATAATTCTCCACCTGATGAGACGTCTGAAAAAGGTTTTCCCTTTTTTGACGTTGAAACAAAAATGTACAATTTTGTAGTGGATATGTGCATGTTCTAATGTAACACTGCATAAGATAAATAAATATTTATGGCTCTACTTTACGTATTGAGCACTATTTTTAAATTAATGTTTTGAACGCTGTAATCCTACTGTTTGTTCTCCTACACTTTGAGATTTATTTATATATAAACCCTATTCTAAGGTCATCTTCAGAAAAAAAAAAAACAATTATTAGCAATATTTAAGATTTGTCCTTAGGCTGCACATTGCAATTACCTACATTATCTTGTAACACATTGATTAATTCTACAAATTCTGTAGAAAATTCTCTTGAAAGTAATGTAAGATATACATTTATTTGTTCATTCAATGTCTTAGCTGACAGTGTGAGAACAATTGAAAAGTAGAAATTACAAGCCTGTGCACCTAATACTATTCAATCAAATTGTATAATTTTTTTTATTTTTTATTTTTAAAGAATAGTGGGAGAGAATATTTTTACTACCTTAAAGAACAAGTTTTTGTTAAACAATTCTGAAGTCATATGCATTTTGAAAGAAAAGCTGAAGAATATGAAATAAGATCAATATAGAAAATTAAAAAAAAGACCATTTTACTTAATTTTTAAAAAATTTCTAAGACATCAATTCTGATTTTCTAAATTTTCAGTATTTTTAAAAGACTACTTTTGAAGAGAAGCCAGTGTATAAAATTCCACTGGCTGAGTGGCGCTGAGGTAAAGAGGTGCAGAAAGTGGCACAAGATGGACTTGAATCCCTCAATGGAACACATCTTGCCAACAAACTGAAGGATTGGTACTACCAACATTGTTTGCTGTCCTAGCTTCCGTTGCTGTTGCAGATGTATATCTTGCATTCAGCAGGCTGTCAATAAGTACCTGTGTGAGTGACTTGCAGTTCACCCCTATTTCTCCATGGTGGGGCTTTATAGCAATGCCAGAAATCTGCAATTTCCTATCTCATTGGTGGAGGAGTTCAAGGTCAGGAAGGTACACCTTCACATGATGATGAGACTCAGCTGATGAGTTTGTCTACAGGCTACAGCCAGATCAAAACTGGCACCAAGTGGTTGGCAGTAGAAGCCACTCAAGAAGCAGGATCCAGCCTGTGAACTAAGGATATTATGGCCTGAGCAGCACGAGCAACTAGTTTTTCTCCAAACAGTGTCCAAAGAATAAACGAGATATGGTGATTGAAGAAATCAGGAATTTCCCTGAGTTTCCCAGTCCAAACCATATTCTTGGACTACATGGAGCCATTAGCAATATCATTCCTCCTGTGATCTCCCAAATGCAACCAACCTCAACCTGTCACTGTGATTTGACTGCATAGAAAAGTGATTGGAGGTTGGGTGCTGTGGATTCCAAAATGGTCATTTGTTTCCTTGTGAAAGTGAGCATCATAAGCCAAAACCTAAAGCATGCTTCACATTGTCTTCAAACCACAGCTCAACAGGCATCAAGTTGGATCTGGTCAAGATCCAAAATAAAGTTAAATAAAACCATGCTCGCAACACATTGCTACTTTCAATAGATATGAAACATCTATTTACATATCATTCTACGTCATTAATAACGATCGCTATAAGTGTGTTGTGTATTTTAACGCAACATTGAAAATTTCAGTTGCAGCTGTAAAAAGAAATCGTAAATCAGACACATATGTTGATAATTGCTCTGCCTTGATACACAATTGAAAAATCTTAATAAAATTGTATTAAAAAAAAATTCACAAGTTTTTAAAATCTAATTAGACAAATTTGGGGACATTTTTAAATTTGATACATTTACAACCTGAACCTCTTGTCAATTAGTCAATATTTTATGGTGATAATGTTTACTTTGTAAACATTTATAAATGCAACTATCTCTGATTCTGTTTAAAACAGGAATTTAGATAATTTTTTTTTATTCTTTCAGATTTCAATTAATAAAAAAAAGTTTAAAATTAAGTTTTAAATAGTTTTTTTTTTCTCTCTCTTAATTTTACTTGGGTGTCAAATTTCTGCAATGAAAATTGAATATTCCTACTAAACTCTCCAGCATTCTTAAACCAAAAGTCTAAAATACACAATGAATTGTCATTTGCAATTAAATATACAATTCAAGTTCACTAAATGTGTTGCAGACAAAATAACTAATAATTTTATTCAGAAAAACAATTTTAATTTTATTTCATATAAATTTAACTCATAACAATGAGACTGACATTGAGAAAAAACTCAAAATAAAAAAAATGTGAATCTCTTGCATTCCCTCATTTTATTACACAATTACCTTCAAATTCACACCTTTAAAAAAAGAAAGAAAGAAAGAAAGAAAGGGCAGCAGTGAATTATTGTTGTTTGCAATCTGCTCTTCTCCCATGGACAGGAGATTTTACTTCAATAATTTTATCAGGTGGTGCTAATTTTCCCTGAGGTGGTCGTCGCCTTTCTAGCTTTGTAGGAACATTTTCATCAACCAAATTCACTTTCTTCTCTTCGTTACCATCATTGTCAATGACGGTAACCTCAGACGACAAACTAACTGTCTTCTTGGCTTTGTGTGTTTCTTTCAACACATCTATAGGGTTGATGGCACCACAGCGGACAAGTGCAGCAATCTGTTGTGCTCTTGTTTGTGCTTGGTTTTCTACAGGGACCTTTGACTGGGTCCTGCGCCTTGGCTTTTGATTCATTAATGACTTGGCAATATTTTCTGCAGGACCTAAAGGAATTTTTTCCACACAAGTTTTTTGCAAAGATTTTTCTTCTGTTAATTCATCTAAAATGGAAAAAGAAAAAAAGAATTAAAAATTTATAAAGCATTTACCACTAAATATGCTATTGTATCTTTATCAAAGCAGTTATTCCTGTTCAGATCTAAAATAAAAATTTTATATATATATATAATAAAATAGCAATTTATATCGTTTTACAAAGTTATTTTTTAGAATTTTAATAAAACTCAAGCATATGAAAATTTATTTATACCTTTTTTCCCCTTGGTTCTCAACCTATTTTAGTGAATATATGGTAAGAGCAAATGACAAAAATGCCCAGAAAAAGCACTTTTTCAAAATTTATAATTACAGCTACTGATCATTATGAGTTTATTTAGATTTTCTTGTCTTTTTCAGACATTTTTATAAATAAATAAATGTTTCCATAGTTATTTCTTTATAATATAGTAAATATTAAATATTGCATTCTAGTGGTTCACTTATTTTTATAATGTTATAAATATAAAATCATTCTTGTAAATAAACAATCTAATAAAAAAAATAGTGTTTAATATTGTTGGCAATTCTCAAGAAAAAAGAAAATGAATAAATCCAGTTTCACTGGTTTGAGTTATCAACATTCTAAAAATAGCTTTTTAAAACTACACAAATTTCTGAAGGACTATACAGTAATAATAGTGTCAAGAGAAAAGCTGTGCTTTTTCCATCGGTACATTTATTTAACTTTGACGAAGTAGCAATTAGATGTAAAATTTTAAAATTGCATTTTGCATTAGAAAACCTCAACTGGCCCTCATCATCAGAGTAAAACAACAAATAAGATTATTATGGTAAAGTGCTCAGTCGATCAGTCATTGCCTGTATCAAGAGGCTTATGGCACAGAAGCCAAAGAAAAACCTTATTTCTCAAAATAGAAAAATATTCTTTATAAAAACAAAGCATTTCTGATTTTCATTAATAAGTTACAAATCCATTTAAAAAGATATCAACAGGCCTAAAATTCTGTGTATTTGTAGAAATGAAAATTTTAAAACTAAATTTATTGCACATTCTCGCTATTTACAGGTTTTTAAAAATAATTTTGTCTAAATTACTGCTACAAAGAACTAAAATATGTTGCTAATATTTGCAATTATTCTCTTCTGGTCTTATACAGGTTTCAAAATCCGGGAATTTTTCTATCCATATAAATAAACAATGATTTGAATAATCTCCCTTTAAGTTCTATGTCACTTCAGAACATAAGCGATCATGGTTCTCTACAACCTCCTTTTCTTTAATATCTGTAGACTATTCATTGCTATGATTCTTCTTGGGAAAGAGACTAATGCTTCCCTGTAGCGTTCTCCAGTTTTAAATTCAAAGTTATCCTGAATTGGTTGCTGACTGAACTGCTCTTTTAAACAAAAAACAGCTTCATGTCTTTCCCAAGTGAGTGTCTCTCAGCTGGGATTTGAACTCAGCTTATCAATTCAATTTTTTGATGCTATTAACTGTTAGGCTACAGACTCTGCCCAATCTGTATACTACAAATACATAAATGATTAATGACCATAGATCTTAGAAAAAGTCCTTACTCCCATTAGTTGGTTAGCAGGTAGCAGATATCCCTTTTTGAATTACTCAAAATAAAATTGTCTCACCTGGATTATATTTCATCATAAGTTCTTCCACTTTCAGTTTAAGTTTCATGTTGGCACAGCGCAATGATTGGGCTTCTTCTTCAGATAGACGTAATTTCTTGATATAGTTAACTACTTTGTTCGTTTCTTGTAAGTACTGCATTTCCATGTCGTTCAGCTTCACTTTCAATTCTTCCAGTTCTTTTCTATCAAAAACAAGAAACAAAATTAAAAATCAGTTCTTTAATAATGTCCTTATTAAATGCAATGAAGCAATAACATTGGATCACTACTCTCCCTAACTTTATAGGATGTCCCTCAAAAAGGTTTAATAATAATAATACCAGTTAATTTTTGTAAATAATCTTAGTTCATTGCCTAATAATGCTTTTGGAACATTTTAGTCTTACCACTAAACAACTTAAACACTGGATTAATATTTTTATTCAAATAAAAAAAAAAAAAATTGTGCAAAAATTAGATAAAAAAAAAAAACCTGATTAATAAGAAGCTCTTTTCAGAGATTGTAAAAAAAAAAAAATCTTACTGTTTTATGTTACTGAGAGAATTTAAGAATTCAATAAAATCACGATTTTCATTGGTGCCAAAAGTCTCTTGAATTTTCACCATTTTCTCTGTTTGTTGTGCCTAGAAAAAATAACAATTGAAATATTTCTGTATTTATAATTTAATTAATCCAAGGAAACAAAATTATAAATAGAAAATAAAATTCACTTTCTATTCAAAGATGTTATTGGCAATCACAATTTTGATTCTGATAATTACCACAAAAAAAATCCTTGTAGTTTTATTGCAGAATACCAAGAAAATGCAAAGATTTGAAAGATCTTGGAGCTCAAAGAAAATAAATATTGTAAGAAATATTAAATAGCATAGGAATAAAAAAATGACTAGTCATAATCCATAAAATTCTAAAGAAACTTTCTTTTAAAATGTCACTTCTGTTTGATTTTTAAAGGTGATTTTAAAAAGAAAGCACACACTCATTCTTCTTAAAGTTCCAAACAATATCAATCATGGAGTGAATATTTTGAAGAACATATTTCAAAATATTCTTAGAAGTTAGGGGAGAAGAGAGTTTTATGCACTTACCTCATTTTTCTGGTAATTTCTCACTTTTTCTTGAAGCTCATGTAATTCATTCTTGGCTTGTTGTAACATTGAATTGAGTTGCTTAACATAATCTTCACTCACTTTGCCAGAATTCATGTGTAGCAAAGAAACTGCCTGCATCTAAAAGCAAACAAAAAAAATTAAATTTTTAATTGATCATGAAACAAAATTTAAAATTATTCTTACTGACATCTCATGTTTTTCTTAGAATAATATATTAGTGTAGAAACAGACACATTTTGATACAAATTTGTCCAGGAAGCAGCTATAAAAAATATAACAGTATGAAATCAGATCGAGAAACAGAATAAAGGGTAGACATTTCAAGATGAACGTAACGTATGAGTTATGGCCCTTAAAAATAACGAAAGAGTGATCTCCCTTGAAAACCTGATAATTTCTTATTCAATCTGAAGGCAACAAATAAAAAAATCCACTTGGACGGATACGGACACAAACACACACACAAACGAGCATTTTGCTGATAAATTCTGAGTTCAGACCAATAATTTCTCAACAACCCCCTTTTGTTTGTTTGTTTGTGTGCAAGAGAAAGAGAAACTCACATCCACCCAAACTCATTTTTTGCGTCATTCAAGAAGACACTTTATACTGATTCAGATAATCTCTTGCTACAATGGCCAGAACTGTGCAAAAACAGAGGGGAAAAAGTGATCACAACTTTGCATCACTTTCTAACCATTTCAAATACATCCTTCAAAAGACAACACAATGTTGACTACAAAAACCAAATAATCAGTATTAACCATTTTTTTTTTCTTAATTGTATTTATCCTTAGAATTTAACATAGCAACAAATACCCCAAAAAGATAAGTTTGGTGGAGTTCAATATCAAGTTATATAAAATAGTGATAATACAAAAGTGGAAAAAACATCCCAACCTAGTACAATATAATTTTCCTCCTCATTAAGACTAGGATTAATAGAAATAAAATATTGTTAACTCACCTTCAATTTGTGATGCTGCTGTTTCTCAACATCATATCTCTCCTTCAAAGCTTGATAGTTGCGCTGGAGGGTGGCAACAGTCTTTTCAGCTAACACACGCCTATCTTCGACCTAAGAAAAAAAAATACAAGCAGGAAAACTTAGAAAACATTAACTCAGTGTTCAAATGCTATTTCAACCTTTCATTGTCATACAGACAACCAATATTATGAGAGATTAAAATGCAACAAGTGTAAATCGATTTTGTTTATTTTCATGTAAGAAGATAAATTTACTCAAATTTAATCCTTGTCTCAATAATGTAGAGGGAACAAAAACTTGGAGAGTTGAGTTATCAAGGGAAATGAATTAAAACAGAGATATCCAAAGGCATGTGAAATTAGAACACTCTACCCTTATTACACTTTGCAGATGTTGCCTTATTTTACAAATTGAAGGTCAAGTAAGTTGTGCAGCATTATTTTTGCCAACTTCATTTGTTCCCCATGTCTCAGTATTATCATTTATGAGCTGATAATTCTTATAATATTTCAAACTTTTTCATTATTATTATTATTAATAATAATGATAATATTAATAATGATGATGATGAAATTGTTCAAATTCAAGTTGGGTTCATTACTTTCACTTTCATATAAAGGTAATAGTCAATCTCCCACCCACCAACCATCAGTTAAATAATAAGGCAGAAAGTGCTCTTCAGCCTAGGGTGGCAACCAGTCTAAGAGAAAGAAAATTGAATTCCCAAACTCTGGTTTTGTTTGATTGAGATTTACAGCATATCAACCTCAATTGGTTATTTAATGCCAACAAAATTTTTATTGCTGGTAATATTTTTCTTCAAAAAACTATTTCTAGCAATATCCTTCCTTTTAAAATCAATTGCAAGTAATATTTTTCCATTTATTTTTTTGTATTGCTGGTAACGTTTTTAGAAAAACGTATTGCTGGTAACGTTTTTCCAAAAACGTATTGCTGGTAATATTCCTTTAGAAAACTGATATGATTTTCCCTTCAAAATTGAAGGAGAAATTATTATCTCCAATAACAATTTTTCCTTCAAAACTATATTGCTGGTAATAACTCTTTCTTCAAAAATGCATTGCTGGTAATAATTTTTCTTCAACAATGAATATTTTCAAATAGATCCTTTAAGTTATCTGATTTGTAATGTTTGATATGGGTTTGCCGGAGGTTACGGCAATTTAGTAGGATATGTTTGACTGTATACTTGTTTACGTATTAGATTTCATGAATTTTTACTTGTCCAATTTATGTTTAGTGGGTGAAATGTCCATACTTTCTATGCTCTCCAGCTTATTAGCATTTTGTTTCTTGTTCTGTTTTGTTCTTTGAACTTTTCTTGTTTCTGCTTGTTTGTTTGATTTTGTTCCCTTAGTTTTTCTATTAGGTTCTTTTAATGATCTTTGTATAGATGATGACCGTTCCCTTGTTTGTGATGGGCTTGAGTTTTTTTTCCTCTATGTCCATTTCTCCTGATTCTTCACTAAAAGTTGTGTTATTTTTTTTATGTACCTTTTTGATTCTCTTGAGAATGTTTAGAGGTTTCTATTTCTTGGATTTTTGTACTTTGGTTTGGAATTTCCAGATTTAATTATTTTGTACATGTAGAGTCTTTTTTGTTTGAGGTTGACAGAACAGGATTTTTTATTGATATTTGCATATGATGCTTGAAGTGAATTAGATTCAACCTGTTTCCTGGCTTCTCGGAAGGAGATATTTTGCATGTATTTTCTTCTAATTATTTCCTTTTCCTTTTTCCAAATGTTACACTCTTTGAAGTCTGCTGGATGTTTTTCTTTACAGTTTGGACATAAGGGAGGCCTTTCACAAGGTGACTCATTATGATCAGTCTCCGGTTCCCCACATCTTCTACAGACTGATGTTCTCGTACAAACATTTTGAAGATGACCAAATTTTTTTACATTTATGATATCTATGGGGATTAGGAATATATGGCTCTACCTTGGCTATTGTGTAACCTATCTGTATTTCTTTTGGTAGAGTCAGTTTGTCGAATGTCAAAATATATGTGTTAGTGTTTATTACTGTGTCATTTCTTTTTAATTGCATTCTTTTAACATTTGTTACTCCTTGCTTTTTTAGAGTAATGTCATTTTCAATTTCTTCTGATGAGCAAAGTGACATTTCTGGGCATTTTATTAATCCTTTTGATGAATTAAGAAATTGATGGGGGTAGGCCTTGACTTTATTGTCAATTTGCTTGATTTTTAGCAATTTCTGTCTTTTTTGGATATCACTTGAATTAATAGAGTATTATTTTTCTTTATTTTTTTTTAACTGAATGTGGTTTGATCATGTCTGAAATAACCCTTTGCAACACGAAAGGAGACACCCTCTATTGATAAATTGATATTTTCCTATTTCATTTTCGCTTTCAGAAGTCTTATATTGTCTCTTGGCTCGTTTATAAGAGATAGCCATATAATTTTAATTTTTGTATTTGCTGTCTGTGCTCCCCACCCACCTCGGAGTCCCTTCTTAAGGGACCCTACCGGGGGGGGGGGAATAATCCCATTTGCCCTAATCCACCAGGGCTACACAGACGGTATAGTTGTGATGAGACTGGATATGAGCACCTGCACTCCCCCACCATATCTACCAAAGTATAATATGATGTAAGGTTTCACAGCCCTGTCTGACCCATTATCTATCATCCCAACTAGCCCTTGCCACTATGTGACTAGCTGATTTGGAATGGATTGGGCTATTCCATCCGCCCGTCTATTCCAGGTAGGGACCGAAGTGAAGTGTTGTGGAAACTCCTGGTCATTTTATACCAGATCAGGAGTCACTCAGTCACCAAGACTCAGTCCCTAAGCATCACAGGTTGCCACCCACGGTAAACAGGTGGCTCCATTGAGGGGAAATTTTATTTTTTTGAAATTGGATTTTGTGAATGTGCACTTTATATACTTCAATTTGTGTTGCTATTATTATTATTATTACAAAAAACCCATTCTTACACTTTCCTAGTATTCAGACTCCAGTTTGATGGAGAGGGAAAACTATTTACCCATAGGTGCTACCACCCCAGGTCAGAGTAGACCTGGAAACAACAGCAACTAAGAGGCGGTTCTATTCTCCCCAAAACATCCTGATCAGAGGCCTTGCTGCTAGATGCAGTTTATCGTCATACCCAGGATGATCCCAAACTCTGGTAGATGGAACTTGTTAGCCTGAGAACATGGGGTCGTCTAAGAGAAGGGAACCGTAACAGAAGTTGTACATTAGGCCAATTACTCTACTCTGTTGAACAGTTCAATTACAAAAACCTCACCAAGAGGCCTTATGTATCATCAGTTGAATAGGGAGATACACACTCAAAATATTGAGTGTTTCTAGTCTTGCCTAAAATCTAAAATTAAAATAATGTTTGGTTCAGAGAAAGAGATACTCTCAACCTATTTTAGTGAATTTATGTGGCAAGAGCAAATGAAAAAAAGTTCGGAAAATGGATTTTTTTCAAAATTTATAATTACAATTGCACGTCAGTATGTGTTTATTTAAATTTTCTTGTTCACATACTTTTATAAATTTATAACTATAAAAATTATTTTCATATTTATTTCTTTATAAAATGTTAAATAAATATTTCATTATAGTTGGTTTACATATTTTATAATCTTGTAAATATAAAATTATTCTTGTAAATAAGCAATCTAATAAATAGTGTTTATCAAGAATAAAAAAAATGGTATAAATCCACTGTCATGTTTTGGTTTTTAATAAAATTCTAGTCATCACTTGAAGCAATAAACATTGTCAAGGGAGTCTATACAGTAATAGTGGTGTCAAAGGAATAACCGTACTTTTGACACACCATTTTTTTTGCATGCGCAAAGGTTAAACATTGCCAAATATTTATTGAACACCTGGCCCTGAAGGACATTTTGATGCAAAACTCTGGAGTCAGACAATTAAGATGAGTTGATTGAACTTTTCTTGATTTATTGAATATTATTAGCTCTAGTTTTTTTATTGAACACTTTTTTGGCAGAAGATCTGCTGGCCTAAAACTACATAAAATTTTTTAAGTTTATTGTTATTATTATAAGCCTTACATGTGGAAAAGGTTTATAGGTCTCATTTGAGAAAATAAGTAGTTATAAAAATAATGTTTACAGTTAAGATCATAGATCTAAAAATTATTCATTTCATGAGAAGATCAGATAAAAATAGAATCAAAAATCTTTAAAACTTGACATCTGACTTCGCCCTTGCTCACCCCCTTTTGATATCTGACTTCGCCCTTGCTCATCCCCTTTTGATATCTGACTTCACCCTTGCTCACCCACTTTTGATATCTGACTTCACCCTTGCTCACCCACTTTTGATATCTGACTTTGCCCTTGCTCACCCACTTTTGATATCTGACTTCGCCCTTGCTCACCCCTTTTGATATCTGATTTAGTCTTCATTTGCCCATTATTAGTATCTGATATAGTCAAATATTTATTGACCATTTGGTCCTGAAGAACATTTTGATGTAAAACTCTGGAGCCAGTCAATTAAGATGATTCAACTGAACTTTTCTTGATTTATTGAATATTATAGCTCTAGTTTCCTATTGAGAACTTTTCTGGCAGAAGATCTGCTGGCCTCTAAAATATGTTAAATTCCTGTAATTTCACATTTTTTTAAAGTTGTCTTAAAATTATTATTATTATAAAGATTATTTGTTCTTCTCTTCATAGATTTGATGATATTGCACACTTAGCAGTCTAGTGTAAACAACTTTTATATTTATCAGGAAACTAACAACTTGTTTAATTCACATCATTGCAGTGGTTTGAAACTGAACGCACAATATCCCTAACATATACCTATATTGTAATCTTTTATACTCCTTGATGTTTAAAAAATTTATTGAGTTAGCCTTGACTGTAGATTTTGGCATTCTAATTATTGGAGTATGTTGTATGTGTTAAAAGTTCAAGTTTCAAATGAAAAAAAAAAAAAAAAAAAAAAAACATTTACCCAATGACCTACCTCTGAAAACAAAGAATTTCCTCTGTCTTTATGACTGTGATTTTCAATTTGGGCAGCATGCAGTTGGGCTTTTAGATCCAGAATCTCTGTTCGGGCAATCTGCAAAAATGAAAAGTTTCAAATTTGAATAACAATCTAAGAAAGAACATCAACATTATTTAAGGTATTTAAAAAAAGAAAATAAGAAAAAAAGAATTCTCAATACAAAAATGCTTTTTACTGATGTAGTAACAGTCACTATGTTTGTGTCTGTAGAAACCAAAAATTTAATGACAAATGAAATTGTCAAAGTGCTTCATGGAAGCTTCAAAATTAGTCACTTGAATTTCTTATAAATTAAAGAAAAACCTTACAGAATCCTCAAAATTTTCCACAGTGTAATAGTGACATTTTTATGAAAAGGATAAATTCAAGGGAGAAATAGTGTTTTAAGTTATTAAGTTTGGTTTCTTTTGGTATCAGAACAGAGAGAATGGTGCAGTACCCAGTGATGATCGAACTCACTACAATAGTTACATGGTCTATAAGATGAACACAGCAATCATCAGGCTATGGGGAAGTGATAAAAAGATTCTGTTCAATGGAAAAAAAAAACTTAATATTAAATCTATTTCCATGTTATTCAATCAAGTTTTATATATTTTATAACTACAAACATTATTATAGTGGATACTCTGCATTTGAAATAGATGCTCCATTTTTATTTATTAAACTATCTAACAGCTTGCACATTTGAGAAATCTTAGTAAAGAAAAAATTTAAATACAGAGGTATCAATTATAATAACATGTGAAGTAATAAAAATATTGGATTAAAAATAATTCCATTAATTCTTTAGAAATTACTATATATTTCTTTCAAACTAGGTTCTTTATGAGAACTTATTTACTTCCAAGGATTTATCAGTTCAAGACCTGGTTTCAGATGGTTCAGACATCATGCATTGTTACTCTTATTAAACATTAATTCTTTCAAATGAATTTCCTTGTATTTGTTCTTGAATAAAGACTATTCTCATTTACTGTTTATCTTTATAGGATTGGCAAGATTTACAAAGCAAGAAAATCAGTTCAATGTGAATTGTCAGACAAAAGAATTGCATTCAGCTTCTAGTCAGATGTAATAATAAATAAAAAAAATAATCTTTTATGGAAGATTGTCACTGGTTAAAAAAATAATTAGTAAAATGAAGACCAGCTATAGTATCAACAGTTAAAACCTAATCTTTTGGGGAAAAAGTATTGCAAAACAAATTGTATTATGAATTGCTGAAGCTTGCTGAAACTTATTTGCAGGCCATTACAGTTACTGTTTTCTAAGTTTGATAATGTTTGTCCATACATTATTTTGTTAACCTTTAAAAATATAATGGAATTGGGATGAGGAAATTCCTCCTCCTGCAGCAAATTCAGACTTAGCAGTACCAGATTATCATTCATTATCTGATCAACATTCCTGGTAAAAAACAAAAAAATTCAAGGTTTCTGATGTTCAAAATTCCAATGACAAATTCATTGTGCCAAAGTCATCAAAAGATAAAATTTGAAAATATTCCTCATGAAAAACATTCCTATTCTACTCTTTGCTCAAATCAATGTTTAATCTTTAACCGTTTTACTTTCATTTCATTTTCATTAAACAGTTTATTTTTATTTTCTTCAACTGTATGGAATCATTAATAAATTCATGAAGATTTTGCCTTAAATTTTGAAATGAGAATTGCCATTTTCATACACTTATCTATTCAGACTACTGTAATGTAGTCAATCAGGAATCGAAATAGATCGTCCAAACATCACGTATAGTACTTGACTGACTCTCCTCATTTTGGTTTTCATAGTTATAGCATTGGTCATCTTAATTAATATATCTATTGTATTCGGTAAACTTCTGGAAATTTCAAACCAAATCGTTTATTCAATCCACCGAGACAGAACGCTATCACTGCTGTAGGGGAGAGAACTCTTATTATTTTTCATAGTTCTTGAAAAAGACCGGAAAAATTACTTTTATTATTGCTGTTATTAGGAATTTTATCAATTCCTTTTATTCAATACATATATATTATGCCTGCTTATTCAACCGTATTGACCACTTTGTTGTAAAACTGCTTTAGAGTTTGATTCATTCTTACCTCTAATGTTTTGTGGTAGGAATTCATTTCAGATTTCATTTCATCAATTTCTTGCTCTTTTTTCTCTTTACTTTGCTGGCAAAGGGTTAATTCTTCTTGTAAACGTTTCATGTTTGCTTCATGACTGATCAACTGAGATTTTAGTGAAGTCTAGGGAAGAAGAAAAAAACAAAACAAAAAACAAATGAAATTTTTTAAAAGATTTTGTCATTTTGAGAAATCATTATCACTCCCAGATATGTTCAGGATATTGACCTCATTTTTCTTTCTTACTTTTGCTACTTAAACATTTCGGGTTAATCAATTCTATAGTTTTCTTCAAGTGTGTGTGTATGTGTGTGAGCAAGAGGAGTGTGCGTGCATGAGAGAGAGAGAGTGTGTGTGTGTGTGTGTGTGTGTGTGTGTGATTATATCCACACAAAACAATACTCCTTCACTTTCTGTGAAGCAGAAAAAAGGGCTTGAAGACATCAAATTAATGGAATGGCTCCCAAGATCTCTAGATATTAATCCAATAGAGCACTAGTGGCCCATCATTAAAAAGAGATTTATGATAATGGAAAACAATATTCAAGTAAAGAGCATCTTTTGGAAGCAATTAATGTTAAAGTCAAAATAGTAGAAAAATTAAAACAAATGAGTGAAAAACTGATGTACATTATGTCATGGAGTCCCTATTAAATAATAGAATAAGAGTAGATTTAGGCATATGATCTATTCTGTTAACCTTTATCACTCTGTATGTGACTTCATTTGCTGTATGAAAAGTTTATCCTGCCACTGAAGGTGACTGATCTCTGAATTTGTTTAAATTTCATAGTTGTGTTGTCATCTCCTGCTATGGCAACAGAAAACGACATTGAGTGAAATTAACCATAAAGACACTACAATTGAGAGGCATCGAAAAAGAATGCAGTGGAAAGGGAAGTAATATTAATAATGCAGAGTACTAAAGGTTAACCAAATGTGTTTTGGATTAATTTAGGAATGAAGAAATTTTATATTGCACTTTGCATAGTAAAACCTGAAAATCTCTCATGGTATATTTACTATATAAGTATATACTGAAAATTGTACCAATTTTTTTCTTGCTAATGTTGGTCTTATTGTGAAAAGAGATATGCATAATAAAGTTTGACAGTGTATGTTTGATGGTGATTGTAAAGAGCGTAGCAGAAATACCTTCCACATAATGGTTAAGACATAGCTAGATGAAGACACTATTGCCACTAATGTCTTAGCATTATGTGAGGGGTATTTCTGATACATCCTGTATTATAAACAAAATGTTGTGGGTGTAAAGTGTGGGCACTTGAGGGTGGTGACAAAAAGTGTATTTACACTGAAAAAGAAGGAGAATTATTAAAAAGGATTTTAACTAGGTATCTCCACTATTTTTCAATATCTAAGGTTTAAAATGAATTTTTATAAATAAAAAAAGCTTCTTGAAGCTTTCATTTTAACATTAATTGAAAGCTAAAGGATTAAATTTACTATTTCTAATAAGCAAAATACTCTGATGTATTTCAAACAGAAATTATATTGATTAGAATCAGTATTTACATTAGTCGGACTATTGTCCTCATCTTTGTCGCCATATTTAAATATGGCAACAAAGATGAGGACAATAGTCCGACTAATGTAAATACTGTACATAATACCTCATCTCAGAAATATAGACAGACTGATTAGAATCAGTGTTTATTTTATATTTTCTAAAATAGCTGATTAGCATACTTTTTAGCTGTTTCTCATCACAATGTAATTCTCTGTATTAAAATATCTTCCAAAATTAAAATACAGTGTAACCCGGATATAAGAGAGATTTTCTCTGGTCCCAAATTAGAGCCTGTGTTAATGTATATAAAATAGACCAAACCCGGATATAAGAGAAACCCGGATATAAGAGAGATTTTCTCTGGTCCCAAAGTGTTCCCATACTTACCTAAACAAAATAGACCAAACCCGGATATAAGAGACTTCTTCTCTGGTCCCGACAACTCTCTTATATCCGGGTTACACTGTATATTTTTCTGAAACTTTATTTGAGGAATATTAACTGATTTAAAGTATAAATTTTAAAAATCTTAGTGCATGATGATTTGTATTAAATTTTTTAATTCTTGCTTAGTAAATATAGTCTTCACTTAATAAGTTAATAAGCTAATGAAGACAAAGTTTTAAAGAATTTTTAAAAGATTTTTGAAACTTTATAAATTATTTTAAGTAAAAAAAAAAAAAAAAAAAGAATGAAAACAATTCTTGTAAAAATTCATTATTCATTGAAAAATATTTTTTCTTCAGACTATAATGTTGTTAATATATATTATTTATAAAAGCAATTAAAAACTTATATAATTAAATAATGTCAGTTTTATTGCAGTTTTTCATGATTCAGAGTAGATTTTGAGCAACTGTTTAAAAAAAAAAAAAAAAAAAAAAAAGATGATTTAAATCCTTCAAGATATGCGTTTAACTAATAAAACAAGCTTAGAGGATGGAATTTAATTTCTAGAAATTTCATGAAATTATGTAAATGGGAGATAACATGTAAAAAAAAAAAAAAAAAAAAAAAAAAAAAAAAAAAGAAAGAAATATATATTTTTAATTTTACCAAGATTTTCTAAAAATAATAATTTCAAAAATAAATTTATTCATTTGTGAATAAGTCCTGAAGGTGCCATTAAAATATGATAATTATTTGATTTTTGCAAGAATTTTAAATCAAGGTGTTATTTTACCAGAAAAAGGCACTAAAATTTCCATAGTCAGGTCTGTCACACCATTGATGCAAACAAGATTTTTAGAAATGAGTAAAAAAAAAAAAAAAAAAAAATAAAAAAAAAAAAAAAATAATTAAAAAATGCATTGGCCTTTCCTCTTAACAATAAACATTTTGACAATAAAACTTTGTTTTTATTAAGTTTGTGGCTTTTTTTCCATTTGCTATGCCGTTTTTTAGTGAAATTTGTATAAAAATCTTTAAAAATGGTTGACTTACATTATTGTTCTGCAGTTCTATGATTTCCTGTTGCATTACAATGATTTCCTCAGTGTTGCTCTTGTCCATTTGACCGAAATTGACAGAGGCATTGTGAAGTGCCTGGTCAGCTTTTTCTTGTAGCAGTTGTTCAAGGTGCTCAATTGTTGTGGTCAATTGTTGCTCCCTTAACTGAAATTGTTCAGCTGAATACTCCATAGACTTCAGCTAAAAGAAGAAATGAACCAGTAAATATCAGATAATCATGTGAAAAACAGTTTGATTAATACCTCAGTCCATAGAGTCTTGGTCATGGTGTATTATACTCCTAATATAGAACGCCATAGTCTTGGTCATAGATGTGTTGGGAAATCATACAAGATTCTCAATTATACTTTGTCTACTTCTATATTTGCCAAAATACAGAAGCGTTGGGTGTTCAGAACAAATAAGAAAAAGAGTTGTATAGAAAAATCTACTTCTATATTGCCAAAAAAATACAGAAGCGTTGGGTGTTCAGAACAAATAAGAAAAAGAGTTGTATAGAAAAAAAAAAAAAGAAACTTGTTTTTTTGCTTGACTTCAACAAGGATAAAATTTTATACACTTGGAATAACAAAATGTTTGTGTACACTGTTACGAACCCTCATCTAAATCTATTATAAAAGCTATATCAATGCTTATATTTTAAAGAGTCCAGTACTTTCAGAAAATGTAAAAATAGGAAAGCAAAGAGATAAGGTAGAATTGAATGCTGACAGATATTAACCAGTACATTTTCTTTCTCTTTTAATCACATGTGGACATCATTTAGCCGAATGGATTCCAGATAGAGAAACTAAAACACTTTAAATTCTCTCTGACCCCACAGATGAGAGAAAGGGTCAGCGACCTCATTTTGCTCACAATGGAAATAGGTTCATATTTGAGAAGGTTGAGAGTCCTTTGCATATTCTCAACATTGGAAGGCTCTCTTGGCTGCCATTTGACCTGAGTTTTCATTTGCACAGGACTTTCTTTTCCTCACTGCAGCCTTGGCTCTCTTGATTGCAATCTGGTCTTCTGTTGGTGAAGATTTGTTTTTGTGAGGGATGCTGCTGCCATATATGATAGGCAACAATAAACTACAGAAGAACTCAAAATTGATCGCTGCATTTAAGTATTGCATTAATATTTAAGCTTACCTTTTAAAAGTTCAATGATAATTCTTCAGCTGCCACTTAATTTAAAGACAATTTGATGCATGAGTTTCAGTTCACCTGTACTTAAAGTTTCTACAGATGTGAAAACTAAATTAGATTCTGAAATTGAATTTATTAGAAAGGCTCTGAATGAGAATGATTACCCTTTTGGATAATGTTGATTTTCCTGGCATCCTACAACATTTACAGACATGTCTGTAAATGTTGAAGGATGCCAGGAAAATCAACTATTTGTCTGTTTTTGACAGATGGGTAGGTAGACCATTCTTCCAGATCAGTCTCCACATAGGTCAGGCACCAAAAACTAGAATGTATAAAAAAAAAAAAAAACAGCTGATTACAACAACTAAAATTTACTTGGCAAATCTTGTATTCACATCTCTAATCCATGGTAAGTGCAAATAGATGCAACATTTCTGAAGATCAATCAGTGTAAGTTTACAAAATTTCATTAATTTTTCTCTAATGCATGACTACACGAGAGTGAATTGTAGAATGAAATAAGGAAAGCCGTTGGTATAAACCAATGGCTTCTGTTACCAATTATAGACATTTAAGAATATTTGTAGACATGCCATAATTGATTTTGTTTAGGTTGGGTTTTAACTGTTTGATGTATAATGCTTCAAGTATTTTTAGTTTTTGTCTATTGTTTTTATGTCGAAGTATAGTTGTGTTTTCGACAAGTATTTTACGGAATTGGGTATGGCATGTCTACAAATATTCTTAAATGTCTATAATTGGTAACAGAAGCCATTGGTTTATACCAACGGCTTTCCTTATTTCATTCTACAATTCACTCTCGTGTAGTCATGTGTGACGTCATGAGATGCGATGCGATTTTCGCTTCTAGCATCTTATATGCGCGTGTTTATCGTTGCTTAGTGATCCACTATGTAAACAATGACAGACTATCATCACTGTCGTGTCCGTATATTGTTTAATATGTTTGTGATTTACATCTTTGATAATGGCTTAAGTAAGCCGAAAGCTTAGATTATATTAAAAATATGGATCAATATTGTGAATTTCTTTCTTCGTTTAATGATAATGTTATCAAACTTATCAGAAGCTACGAACAAATTTTACATAAAATAAATAGACAACACTTGTCTATATTATTTAATGAAACGTGTATAAATGAAAATATGCTGCCTAAATACACACAATATATATATATATATATATATATATATATTAAAGAGAGAAAAAGCTGCAAACATTATTATAATGTAGAATTTTTTTAAATACTTTATTCTATATATTTAGCTACCATAGTATCCAGTCTACCATCACCTCACCTCTTGTGCCATCCACCTGTAGTCTAACACAATGAATTCTACCATCACCTCACCTCTCGTGCGTCCTGTCTATATAAAAGGAAGGAAATGCAGCTCCCACATCAGAAACATGCAGTCCTTTTTTTTTAATAAGATTTCTCAAACATCCAGATAAAAATGCTAAAAACAAGGTTTAAGTAATAAAAGTATGTCAGATTAATAAATAAGAAAATTCTTCCCCTTTCTTTACAAATTGTTTTGTTTACGTTAGGATATGAAACTGAGCAGATATGTCATATATGTAATATGAATGATAAAAGGATTAATTATATTCCTATTTGATGTGTATAGCCATTATACAATTTCCAAATATAAAACCAGAAAGGGAAATTATGAATGACTGAGTATTGGATACTACAAGTATAAATTCCTTCACCCAAAGAGATCCCTGTACCTCTACCTGATGTAGACAGCAAATATAAACACTAAACACAAGAAAATGTGGCATTTTCACAAGAAAGAATGGCCTAAAATGTGCACATAAAAAAAATTTTGATTATTCATTTTAGCTCACCTGTCGTGTCAAAGTTGTTTCTGTTTTCTCAGCCGTTTCAAGATCTTGCTTGATCTTTGAGACTTCACCTTTCAGGTGGGAAATTTCTTCATTGTACTGCTGTTCCATGTAATCCTTGTTATCAAGTCTTAACTTGAGAGCATGTTTTTCACTTTCTCTTTCCTGAAACAGAAACATCAAATATTAGTCAAGTCATAGATACATTAACTACTTCATTTTACTGTTTAAACTATACCTCATCCTTAGTTGCAAGAATATGCAGGTAGCCAAATACCTAATGATGTGGAAAGTGAAATTATTGAGTAAGGTTCAAATGCTGGCCTCATTTGTTGTGTTCACTTTCACACAAATGCCGTTGCGAAATGTATGAATCCATCTCTGCTCCCTCTAACTATGGGGTAAATAACAGCCTTAGCCAATCTAAGAGAAGGAAATCCCTGAATTCAAAACCTGAATAGTATTGTTTATAAACCTTGTGACAACCTATATACGCCAGTTCTCTGTATTTGATTCTTTCAAAAAGTGTTGCTGTTTCTGCACAAGCCTTTGTGACTATAATAAAATTATATGTATAAGTAACTACTCCATTGTCTTTTCCCAAGAAGTTATTAAAAAAAAAAAAAAAAAAAAAAAAAAAAGGCCTCCTAATAACTCATTTGTTGAGGTCTATAAAACACCCAAAAGCCACTCAAGGTAGTGGTGTCATATTAGCATAAGAAAGGGCAAGACGTGAAGTTATTGGGACTATGCAGGATAGATAACAGCTGAGACTAGACTTGAAGAGGTCAAGCAAATAAGATTTCAGTCAGAGATTTTAGAAGTATAGGGGACTTTTTTTTTTTTTTTTTACAGAGAGGTTCACCCTGTAAGAGGTCCAAGGGCCAGTTTATGCAGATAAGAGGGTGAGATAATGGTTAACCTTATGCATGAGCAGGTTAAGATTGTAGTGATCAGGGAAACACCCTCTTCAGAGTCAGTTCCACAAAGCAGTGACCTGCAGGAAGAAAAAGTGTGGAACTGGAAATTCAATCCTAAACAGGAAACCTTTACTCCTGTTCAAAAGACTGGGCAGGTGTTAATTTGGGGGTTCAAGAAAAGAAAAATCAGCATTAAAGCTGAGTATGTAAAAAAAAAACTTAGCAAGGAAAAAAACTGACAAAGTATCTGAATTTGTTCCCTCCCCTACACTTTTTTTTTTTTTTTTTTTTTTTTTTAGAATTATTTTTCTTATATTTCCAGATAAAGTTGAAAACAAAAAATACATCTGATTAAACCATCTATACATGATGTCCAACTAATTGTACCATAATGAATAGTTCCAAACTATTATAGTTAAAACAAAATATCATACAGGTCCACCATCCCTAATCCAAACATCCAAAGTTTGAAAAGTTCTGAAAACCACACATTTTTTTCCTTAGAGTGCAAGTAATGCAAGAGGCGTCCAGAGCCTGGTGTAGCAGTATAGAAAGTTCTGTGGTGTTGTAAACAAACAGACAATACAAACTATTATTAACATGGTGTTAAATACAGAATATGATGAAGACAGTAGCAATGATGACAACATTGTGAAATAAATTTCCTTACTGTATGTGTTTATGGAAAAAAATTATCCCAATACTACATTAGTGTATTTTTCCATAAAGTCTAGTGTTATTTTGTGTCAGTCATTTTCGTTTTTTTTTTTTTGTCCTGACCATAGTTATTCTATAATTTGAAATGGTTTAAACACAGCTGGCCCAGAGGATTTCAGATTAGGGATAGCGGACCTGTAGTTTAATAAATTAGGCTTGGTGCTCAGAGTTGATCTGATTAATACCATGCCCAATTAGTAGGACACCATGTGTGGAGTAATCTACAGTTACCTCCCTTGAATTTCGAACTGAACCCTTTATTTCGATCACCGGAGTAGACTGTTCTAGTTCCATGTTTGATGGATGTCAGTTATCAGTTATCTCCTGTTAATTTTCCCTCTGAAAGTTCTCCACTGCCTCCACCGGGTATTGAACTCACACTCTTTGGGTCTGTCACCTCAAGGACACATGGCACAGTGGATAAAGGCGTTGGTAGTGACAGACCCAAAGAGTGTGAGTTCAATACCCGGTTAAGGCAGTGGAGAACTTTCAGGGGGAAAATTAGCAGGAGATAACTGATAACTGACATCCATCAAACATGGCACATGGAACTAGAACAGTCTGCCCCAGTGATCAAAATAAAGGGTTCAGTTCGAAATTCCAACCACCTGAAGAAGGCCGGAGTGTACAACGGCCGAAACGTTGTGACAAATATGGCGACAAAGAGGAGGACAATAGTCCGACTAATGTAAATACTGTACATAATACCTCATCTCAGAAATATAGACAGACTCCAAAAAAAAATTCATTTAAAAGCCAGTCAACTCAAAGAACCTGATACCAAACTTCGGTATTTTTGTGAATAATAGAAGACACATGCGACATTTACAAGGGGTTGAAATTCAATAATGAAGAGGAGAAAGAAAATTTGGAAGTAGTAATAAAGAAATTCAAAGAATTTTTTGTTGAAGAAACCTATGAAGTGAACAAAGCTTACAAATTTCATATTCAGAAGCAAGAAGCTGCACTCTGACAGTTAGCAAAAAGATAAAATTTGGGGAGGGATAGGCTAATTTGAGAGAAAAAAATTTGCAAGGGTTAAAGATGATACAGTCAGGGCAAAGTTTTTAAAAGGCTTAACCTAGACAAATGTATAGACATAGGGAGAGCCTATGAAACTTTCAAGCAACAAACTCAAAATATTTACATCACACCATGCATAAATGAATTAATGATGAATTAGTAAACAAAACTTAAAGGAAGACAAAAATTAAGTCTTACTTCTTCAGCTTTTGCAATATTTCTGAAGAGATTTTCTACTTTGTCTTTCAGTTCATTGTTCTCTTGTAACAACTGCATCCCCAGTTCAGCTGCTTGAGTTGTCAGTTTCTGTTCATTTTCCAGCTGCTTCTCCAAGATCTCTATCCTCTTCAGCTGAGTATAATCTGGATTTTCTATATTCAAGCTAGACCCCAATGAAAAAAACTTCAAATGGTCATCATTTGGTAATTTATCTTGTAGAAGATTCATTTCTGGACTCTTCTCAGAGGTGGAACCATTTAGCTTAATTTCAGAATCAATCTTTGTTTTCTTTTCAGGTGAGGCATCTGTTGTTAAAGAGTGGCTCTCTTCCATTTTTATGCTTCTTTTATTACAAACTGCCCCAATCAAATTATTATCTACTGATGAATCATTCACACTTTCACTGTCATCAGATTCCTTCAGATGTACAGAAGTGGCAGCCATGTTTGAAGTGTTGGAAACTGAGAAAGATTTTAACCTTTCGTTACTGAACCCCAAGTATTCCAAAGTATTCAGCCCCTCAAAACAATTACTATTATTGTCTTTCACTGTACAACCATTTTTGATAATATGTCTGCTAGTTTCTCCAGAACTTTCTAGAGAGAGGCAGTCCTGCTCAGAAACATACTCTTCATTGTCAAAGACCTCTGAGGCATTTTTAGCAATTTCATTACTGAAAGAACTTGAATCTGCTAATTCTGCTTCCTGCTTTAAGTTCATCATCTTTCCAGACACAGATTTTTCAGTTTTATTTTCCAGTTCAAATAAATCTTCATTTGTTGGTCCCATTTCTTCAAGTTTTTTTGTGTCTTCATCTTTTGATTCAAGGGTAAAGTTATTTTCATTACTTGAAGGGATTTCAACCTTGCTGGAGTCATTTGGTGATGTGGCTTGCTGAAATTCTTGCTCAAGGTTTAAGCCAACATTACTGTAAGGAGAGATCAAATCCTTGACTGCATGGTCATTTTTTACAGAACAGTTATTGTTAACTATATCAGGACTGCAATTTGGAGATATGGCTTGCTGAAGTTCTTGTTCAAGGTTTAAATTAATATTGCTACAAGAAGTAGCCAAATTCTTGCTTTCATTGGAGCTACACACCATTGGATATCCATCATTCTGAACACTACCAGGAGTAACATTTTGTGAGATTGCATGCTGAAGTTCTTGTTCAAGATTTAAGCCAACATTACTGTGAGATGTGATTAAATCCTTGTGTATATCATGGTCATTTTTTACAGAACAGTCATTGTTAACTACATCAGGACTGCTATTTGGAGATATGGCTTGCTGAAGTTCTTGCTCAAGGTTCAAGCCAACATTACTGTGAGGAATGATCAAATCTTTGTCTATACTATGGTCGCTTCTTACAGAACAGTTATCGTTGACTACTTCAGGACTGCAATTTGTAGATAAGGCCTGCTGAAGTTCTTGTTCAAGGTTTAAACCAACATTGCTACAAGAAGTAGCCAAATTCTTGCTTTCATCAGGGCTACACATCACTGGATATCCATTATTCTGAAGACTACCAGTACTACCATTTTGTGAGATGGCCTGCTGAAGTTCTTGTTCAAGATTTAAACCAATACACTCATTAGAAGGATTACCACCCTCTGATTGTGGGACTGGCTTAATATTTTCTCGCAACATTGATGGTTGTAGTAGCTTTTGAGTGTAGCCTTTGAGCAAGTCACTGTCCACAGTAGCATCATCACATTCAATAGGGGCATGACTAGAGATCACAAGGGGTGTGGAGGCCTGTAAGTGTTTCTCATTAAAACTTGTTATGTCATCTACATCTGAAAAGTTCAGTCTGACTACAGGATCAGTATACAAGCTGGTAGTAAAATCTTCAGAAGAAGAATCAACTTTGGAAGGGCCAAATCCAGCATTGGCCAATTCATCCATCAAGTTTAAGGATTTGCCTTGATTTCCATTCATCTGGAAATAAAGAAAATGAAAGAATTACCAAAGTAAGAAATTAGCAGGACTAATGGAACTTTCAGAATAATTATTTGTCAAAGCATGTAAAAGATATATATCAAAATATGTAAAACAAACATTTTTTTTAAGTATCAAAATAAAAACAAATTGCAAACTAAATTTCTTCTATATCGAGATGAAATATTTCTTTACAAGTTTCATTAAAAAAAAAAAATATAGTTTTATCTACAGCAAATTTTCTAATCAAAAGTATATATATATATATATATATATATATATATATATATATATATATATATATATATTTTTTTTTTTCAAGGCAAAATAAGTCTAGATTTTCTACGACTAATGAAGGTATAAAAATGGTCACTAGGTTTGTAACACAAAAGGAAAAAAGTCATTAGATCAATTCTAAAACTAAATGAAATTAAATTACATAGTGTGTAGGGAACACAATGAAAAGATCAAGGTCCTATTTGTTCTTGTTTGGGAGTGGCCAACAAGTTACTGAAGAAAAAAAAATTTAAAATATCCAATAGGTATAATAGATACACACAAATATATATCTCTAACAAAAAATGTATATAGATTAAATTTATTCTGAAAATTTTCTGCAACACTGGTTTTAACTAATTTTAAAGTTTAACAAAACTGAGACAGTAGTAGTAGTAATATTACCAGTTGCAGTTGCTACCTCTAGTGAACCAACAGACCAGGAAAGTGATATCAGCTTTTATATAAAATGCATACACATGCGCACACACAATTAAGATGTAGGCAATTAACAATTTAATGGTATAATTATGAGGTTTATTTCAATTTCATCAATTCTTTCTAACAATCAAGCTTTTTGGTTTTTCTCCAATCAAGGAGATGAAAAGCAAAATGCATTATTGAATTGCCTTGAACTCCAGCATACCTGAAGGTTTAGATTTTCATCATTTTATTTCTCTATTCAATGTCAATTACTAAATGGTCAAACATTATGTACTTCTATCTAATTTATGAAGCTTTTCATTTTTTGTTTATTAATATTTGCTCACTGAAACCGGACTTCTATGCCGGTGCTGTTTTGGCAAAAGTGCATTCGTTGTCTGCTATTAAAGCAGGAGCACAAATGGTTTGTGGAGATTTTAAGGTGGTTGAACTGGTCCTAGGGCTTCAAGGTGGGTACATAAAGTATCCTTGTTTCCTGTACCGCTCGGACAGTCAGGCTGACAACCAACATTATATCAGACAAGAGTGGCCGTTAATACAAGGGTCAAAACCTGGCTCGCATAACAGTCTCAAACTCTCGTTGAACTGAACAAAATACTGCTTCCACCCTTACATATCAATTAAGGGTAATGTAGAACTTTGTGAAGGCAATGGACATAGGTGGCAGCAGGTTTGTTTTCCTCCAGAAGTTCCCATGGGTAAGCATGGAGAAACTCAAGGCTGGTATATTTGACAGCGCCCTCAAATAAGAGAACTCATGAAGAATGTTTGACAAAGCACTGAGTGAAGCTGAACTGTCAGCCTGGCAGTCACTGAAGTCAGTAGTTACAAACTTCTTGGGAAACAACTAGAGTGTGAAATACAAGAAGGAAATTGAAGAGTTTCTACCAACTTGAGGCACGAATGTCAGTCAACCTGCACTTTCTGGGGTCACACTTTAACTATTTTCCAAAGAACTGTGGAGATTTGAGTGAAGAGCAGGGTGAGCACTTTCACCAAGACATTCACATTATGAAAGAGCGCTACCAAGGCAGGAGGGATGTAAACTTTCTCAGACTAATGCTGATGTTTGAAACAGGAAGTGTTAGCTCCAAGCACAGGAGGAAGTCCCTGAAAAGACCTTTCATCCATGAATAGCTTCTTTTGTGTATTTTTCAGCTATTATATATTCAACCTTCAAAACATGGCAGGCCAGTTTTATTAATGTTTCTGTTCCTAATTCTTTCATACTCTGCAACCCCTTGCATTTTAGTGGCTTTACTGCATTGCTTAGGGTGATACCAATTAAAAACAAAACAAAAAAAAGAAATAGACAAATTGAAAATGATGTGTTTTACAGTAGAAGTTTGAGACGTATGCAATGAGGTATATATTTTGTTACTTTGGCTTACTTAACCTATTGCATATGAAGTAAATAAGGTAAAGTTTCTGTTGACAGATGACCACTTTGGTAGAAATGGGAACTATATATATATAACAAAGCAACTGGCTAACAAGTAAAAGCAAAATGTGCTTACTGTACAAGCATCAGAGTTTATATTTATTCTATTGCTACATTGATATTTAGTACAAAGCAGGTGCAGGAATTTACAACATTTTTATTATTATAAAAAAATAAGAACTAAAAACAAATCCTTACTGTGTACTCAAGTCTCTAGTTCCCTTACATCACAAAAAAAAAAGGTGGGGACCAAGATCTTTGTACACACCTATAATTCCCATTAAAGTGTCACAGAGTGAGGGTGGCTTTCCACCTGTTGAGGCATGTAACTCACACGTGCACACAAAAGGCTTCTGACAGCCAACAAATTAGGCAAGGAGGGATATGAGGCTGAAAAGAAAACTAAAAGGAAAGATAAAAGTTTATTAAAATCTAAATGGGAAATGGAGTAAATTAGGAAATGCACACTAATTAAGAAATGTTAAGTAGTTGTAATAAATAGACTGAGAACTATGGCAAGGATGACATCAACGAATAATAATGTAATGTATTGAACCAGTCACAACTAAATAAATCCTCATTTTCACCCCAACTTTTGCCAAAGTGGGTTGACATGATAAACAGAACCTAGTTAACTTTGAACTTTTCACTAAAAAGCTTTCTGATGACAAGAATAGTTTACTTAAAATTTATTAAAAAATCCACACAAAAACCCTAACTAGCAAATGAAACTCAAGTCAACAAATACCTGGTACCTGGTTTTCAAATAAAGGGCATATTCAGAACAAGTGAAATTGATGAGTAATTTTGCTGAATACATCCAATTGATTCCCATATTCTAAAACAACTCTCTTTTCCCCACCCGTCAACTATGATCTCCTGAAAATTTAAATGCAACGTCAATCATCATCATCTCCTTGAACCCTGTTCTTTTACTGCCCTTTCTCCTCAACCATCTTTTAAGTTTCTTTTACTTTCATTAACCTCTTGTGTCAGTGGCATTTATTGTCTTGACTGGAGTGAAATGATATAAGGAAAAAAAAAAAAATTTGTAGGACTACTACAATATTGGTTGCTTCAAAATTGAGAGACTTGCTTTTTAATGAACTTAGAACCCCATGTGTAGATACCATAAATAAAACTGCTGTTGAGAATTTAATGTTAAACAGAAAAGTTTTGTTGTGTTTTGAAAGAAATCCTAAGAAACATTTTTTGTGTTATCTTCTCGTCCTGGGTATGACGATAAACTGCCTCCAACTGCAAGGCCTCTGATCAGGAGGTTTTGAATAGCATGGAACCGCCTCTTAATTGCTGGTGTTCCCGGGTCTACCCTGGCCCGGAGTGGTGGAGCCTGTTGGGGTCCCAGCTATAGGCAAATAGGTAACACCCAAACTTGTGTAAAAATAGGTTTTAATACCAGAAATACTTTGCAATAAAAAAAATTATTACCAGCAATAATTTTTGAAGAAAAAATTATTATCAGCAATAATTAACATTTACAGTGAAACATATACTGTTAGAATGTGTAGATTTTGATCTAGTGAGAACAAAATATTACCGAGTAATTTAAAAAAAAAAAAACTTTACGAATATAAAACCATCCAAGATTGTAAATTTCCTAAAAGAAGTAGAATCATACTCAAAAATATAAGTAATTGAAAAATGATTTAAATATACATAGACACCTCTTTTTTTTTTACCAAACTATGGCTATGAATCTATTTTAAAATTTTGTTGGCATTAAATGACCCACTAAGGTTGATATGCCATAAAACAAAACAACCAACCAACCAATGTGTTATCTTCACTTGACGAGAATAGTACTAAAGACAGTTTGAGGGAGCTAGCACAATGTGGAACAATTCCATCCTGAATGTCAGATCAAATCTACCAGCAGGAAGTGATCAAGATTGTGACTGAGCAGAACATTACAAGTGCCACAAATGGCCAGGAGGACAATACTGAAGGCCTATAATCAGTGATAGCGATAATATAATCACAGAGAAATAAAAGTTCTATAAAGGAGTATTTTTGATAAATGACTATTGTTAGTGAACATTTAACTAATCATTCTGCAAGTTCAGATGAGGCCTTGGTTGCTTGAACTTTCTTCTATGTTGAGGAATATTTAAATATTGGATCTTTTATGACATGAAATAAAGTCATATTTGTGAATGACAAAATGAAGTGCATTCAATCTGGTGGAAAATGGAGTTCATCATGAGTTGGGTTGGTTGGAGTCTGATTCAGAAAGTAAAAGTTTTCATAATGAAGTCAGTAACCTTTGGTACTAATTTTAGAATTGTGAGATGTCATAAATTACTTTCCGTCTTTCAACTTGCCCTCTTCGCCATTTGCAGTTGGCACCACAGACAAAAAAAACAAAAAAACAACAAATAAAGTTTGAAATAAGGAAAAAAAAATTAAGAAGTTGTTTAAAAGGCCAACTCCATTAACTGCAACCAGAAATAGGCGTTCTATTCCTCTTTTGACAGAAAATTAGAGAGCATGTTTTGAATATTTCAACATTTACAAAAGTCATACAAAGCCGTGTTATTCATTTTTACTAGAAAAACAGCCATCATGTATATGTATTTTCTTTTTGAGGGACATGATACATAAATTAGCAAAAAGCAAATGCAATAAAGAGATTATTAAATATTCTAAAACCAAACTGGCATAAGCAGGAGTGATTCCGTAGGGTACCAGAGATTAAAGTTCATTGGAACAGATCCAGGGCCTTCCTACTAGTTTTTATTTTACAATTCAGAACAGATTTTCTGTAACTGGGATTCCTGTTTGATCAAAACAATTTCTGAGGGCTTGTCTTTATAATAGA